TTGAAATCATGATTGTTAGACTACCATTAAAAACCCGCAAGCACTGCTAGGCCACTTCGTCCTGATATTGGAATCATCGGCAGTGCACATCCACAACTCGTGCACATCGCGGGATTCGAACCCAGAACCTTCGGTCTTGCGCGCGAACGCGATCGGATGCCGGCATCCAACTGTGTTAATGTATAACTCTGATCAATCTATAGACAGAATATCTGGATTGTCTTTGCTAATTTTATTGAATTAATTAAATATTGATAAACTAATTGATAAAACACAATTTTTATTTTAATAATATATTTATTTTTCTCATTGTTCATTGGATAAGATTTGTGTGTATTCGATGTTATTTGTTATTTGTAGTCAGCATACAGGGGCATATTGATTTCATCTAAACATTGTGATATTAATATGAACTTACATTTAGCTAAGATCATTTTCCAAGACAACATAAGAGAATGCAGTGAAAACGTTATATTTTGATTTTTTTTTCAATAAACAAATTACGTAACAAACCTTGTTAGCAATGTACGTAAAATGAATTAAACTTGTAAAACGATTTCTAAATTTTTTATTGAAGAAGTTACAGTTCTGAAAAATAATGTAATAAGAGAAATTACCATTAAAACTAGTTTATCGATCAAAAGAAAAATGTCTGTTAAAATTATATTTTATCATTAATGATCATTAGATGCTCACAGTAGCACGGAACTTGAAATCATTTAATTTAAACTTTGTAATCAAAATTAGCTCTTTCAGATTTTATTTTAGATTCCGATTGAAGATTTTAACTTAACATTATTGATTTGTTTCAATGTGAAACAGAAGAGCCATCCAATTTTCATCACTTTTCATTCTGTGAAAAAAACTAACTCCAAAGTGGATAACGATATGTTCTCATTGTTATTATTAAAAAAGAGACTAAAATTTATTATTTTTATATTATTTTCTATGGTCTATAACTTTTATCAACATCATATCTTGTGAAGAACTGGTCACATCAGTTCATTTTAACACATAATTCTATTTCTTTCAATAAAAAGTAGTTGGAATTTAGAAATAAAATAGTTCTGATTAAAAATTCATCTGTTGACATATCAGTAATTCTGCGTACATTATCCCTGATGTTGTACAGGAATATTTTAATGGTAATTCAGTCTTATATTAACTGATTTTATGTTGAGAACAGATTCAACTGCCAAACGTAACTGTAATAATGAAGCTGGTCCAACGGGAAAGAGATTATTTATTTCAATGTTTGCCATGGAACTTATGCAAAGAAAATATTCCAGTTTGCAAAAGGACATTGGATTGATCCAGAATAGCTGGAGAGGTGGTCATTGTAGTCTGGTAGGATTTTGTTAAGAATATACATGTACTATTTTCAAGTACACTTCAGAATCAATTTATATTCAGGTTATAAGCCGTAAACAGCATTAGAGTACAAAACAACGATTTAATTGTTTTGAACTGGTAGAATCAGTGTCTAAATTCACACAAACTTAATTAAACATTTTTCCATCTCGGCAGTATATTCACAACCTAATAAAGTGTTTACTGTAGCATTATTCTGTGTTTTGATTCAGCTTATATAAACTAGCCTACATGTTTTTAATTTCGATTGGCTTGTGTACTAATGATTGATATTAAAAAGCATGTCTTAATCCCATATATATTTTTTTACGTATATCATAACATCGCAAACAAAAACTGAATTGTAGACAATATTGTTTGAAAAAATACACACCCAGAAAATAGTATTACTTGCCAAATTATGAGGTATTAAATATTAATTTAAGCTCAATCATGTTTATTTAAATCATTCGTTAACTTATCAACATTTATATGATGTAACCAGTGGCTTCGAGCATACATTGAGGCAACAAAACCATATCACAAACTTCTCTATATTTAATTACGCAAAGAAAGATAAAATTTACACTTTGAAATTCAGTGAAATGTAACGTTTTGACCATGTACGTAGTGTGTGGATTTATGATAAAATTAACTCACCAGAAGATATACAACCCATTATTTTAGCAAAAATTTCTGTAATTTTAGATCTCCCATATAATCTGTGCAACTTAGCACAGATAGCCAACCTTGACGACTTACTGAAATTAGTCAGTCTGATATGGATTTATTGAGATAATAAGTACACTGATAAAAAATTTTTCATGGAAAAGTTACAAAATGGTTAAGTTCATTCAATAGATGAAGGAAGACGATCCAACAGTAACAACAGAAACAATGTTAAAAAAAGATGTACATACTTCTCAGAAGATTTTTAGAAAATGAGTTTGTATCTGAACTATCTCGTTTATTTAGAATGTGTTTAAATAACAAAACAGTTGAGAATGAAAAGCAAACGGTAGGTAACTATTTACCGCGATGTATTAATTTAACAAGTATATCTCTGTTTGCTTGTATGTGCTGAAAAAGATTAGCTCTGAATCAATAGTATCGCATATATAAAATAAACTGAAGTAATAAGTACAGGAAACCTGTTATATCTAATATTAGCTTAATTGATTATAATGAACTTGAAACAAGTTTCAGAAAAAAATTGTTAATAAAACAAGTCACTTACAACTTAGTCCGATGGTCAGGCGTTCGCGCACACTACCGAAGGTCCCGGGTTCGAATCCTGCGAGGTGCAGGAGTCGCGGATGCCCACTGCTGATGAGTCCCATACCAGGACGAAACGGCCACCCCGTTATGCAAATAAAAATAATTTCATTAATTTTAAAGTTTCCTGCTAAATAACAAAACATTCTCCGATGTTTTATTGTGCCTATTCCAATGTACAACTCATAATAAATTGTTCATCGAATAATTTTTAAGATAATATTTATAACTGAAAGTATTTGTTTAGCAACAACGTTCTGTTGAAGTCAATGAAGACATTGCAAACTATAGAAAATATGAAAGCCAATAGAAGTTTCAGTTTCATAAATACTAATGATAAGTGACTGAAACTCACTAGTCAAAAATACAATCTGAATTACTTGATCTTTTCAGGTACGATTGTTACGTGAAAAATCATTAATATTATTGATCTCTTTGGTTATAATCAATACGAACTGACTTTTGAATCTATACAGATTAATTTAATAACAGTTTATTAAACTTAACTAATTTGACTAATACACTTATTTGGATTATTTATTATGATATGTTATGATAGGATTTGTTGGCTTACTTCTGTAAAATAGTTTGAATTAATGAGCAAAAAATTGTATGATGAGAAAAAGATAATTTTATTTATTTTCAAAGAATTTGTATCATGAATAATAACATTTCTTCTTTGTCATTTCAAAATTGTTAAATAAAATGCTTTTTACATTTAGAACATGATGACCTATATTATACAAGTATCAAAACAAGAAAGAATATTAAGTTTAGCTGTATTACACATAAATCGATAGTGCTTATATGTGATAAATTTGAAATCAAGAATCGATCAATGTTAGATCACCATTGGAAATCTAGAAGCACTTGACGCATATTTCGTTCACTTTGGAACTCATCAGTAGTGAGCATCCATGATTCCCGCTCGCGACTGCTTAGCCTACTGTTCACTAAGCTGGCATCCAACGATGTTAATGTCCGATTTTGATTAATCTTTGGTCTTGCACAGCCTGATCAGTTGTCTTCGGTGAGCACTGCTTCACACCTGAACTCCAAAGGACATCTATTGATGGCTTTGGGTGGTAGCCCAGAAACTTCCCGAATTGATAACAATTCGAGGTTTGAACCGTTGGATTTGATCTCCTCTCCACAAAAATACTAATGATAAAGAGATAAACTTAATGTAGATTTACTGCTGTGTATGGCTGATAAGTATCAGATCGTAAGTTATCACATATACAACTTATCTAATGGAAATCAATCAGTGATTTAAAATAACATAGCAGTTGGAGGAATATTAGGCCTCATAGACAAATTACATTCAATATATCGTTGAGTAATATTTAACTGAAAAAAATATTCCTCAAGTTTTTGTGTTAGCCGAACAAACTTTCAGATGGTAAATACCTCGTCTGAGTCAACAGTAACTTGGTAAGTAAATTCTAGCCACCTATCTGGGTCACTAAGTAATAGTTAATGTCACATTTATGTAAACCAATGCTCTGTTTAGATTCTGTAGATCGTATTTGCACATTGTTTACTTTTATCAACATTTTTTGAAGTCAGTTTGACTGGAGAAAAGCAAACTGTATAATATTATCATTTCGTGAAAATGTTTGTTAATTAGTATCAATGAACAATTGCTAAACTATGAAATGAAAGCTAGGTAAGCAAAGCTAGAAATAGGGTTTCCGGCTTCTGGATTCTGGACAGGACAAACATAATTCTGCAATTACAGTTCACCTTAAGCGAAGGTGATACTACTTTATGGGGTACTGTTGAATTATAAATTCAAACAATAATTTGTTTTCAGCTAAATAATGAACATTGAACTAATTTATCACATGAAGCTGATTCTTATTAATGAGAAGAAAAAAAGTCATTCCATTTTCCATCACTATTATAGAAAGTATCTTTATTCTAATCTGTCGAATGACAGAAATTTTACAATGTGCAATGTATGGTAAACTGAACAAACATTGAAATTTTGTTATTCTCAAAAACGTTATTGTTTCAATATAGGAATGAAATTTAATTCAGACCTTCCTTTTCAATAATGAAAATACTCATTTTTACATGTTTATAAGGAAGCGAAAATGTATTTCTTTATATAGCAGATCGATCATTCATAAATGTCAACTATCAGTGTACAACGAAAAGATCACTTGATCATGTTAGTAAATAAACATGACCAGCCAAATTCAAATAAATCAATCCTTGATTGATTGAATAGCGAGTAGATTCAGAATTGCATGATTATCAAAGTTAGCTATATTAAATTATTTACTTGTAGACGTTACAAGTCCTGAATTATTATTATTCAACAACATAATAGTTACATTTTATCCACACCGACATTATCGATAAATCAAATGAAAAAAAGAGAACAAGAATCATCAATGAAGGATCTACAATCACGAAAGGTATCATTACATTATGAAAAACCTGTTAATCACATGAATGATTTAAAGGATCTTCCACATTTTTATACCGCCTTCCCTATTTCATTTTACCCAGAGGATAGTCCAATTATTATGGAAGATATGTGTAAATCAAGAAAATGTATACCAATTCCAATAATTGCACCTGATGGTAGGTTCATTATACTGACATGTATCTTTTTTAAATATATTACTCAATGATATTAATGTATCATTTTGAAGCTCTATATTAAGTATGAATAGATAGAATTATAGCTCAGTTTCAGCATAATTGATTAGCATCAAGTAAAACAAACAAGAAAATGCATACTGCTCAATGGTTAATCCACTAAAAGATGAATCTTAGGCATGCAGAATATATAACAACCAGTATGATTAATAATTTAAAGCTGACGCATGAACGTATTTGTCTACTGTCATAGGATACTAAGTTACAACAAAGGTAACTCATTAAGACTAATTACTCGCTCGTTGACCATTTAAATACAGCATTTTGAAAGTTACTAAGCATTTAAAAACCGTAACATCTATATTCAATTTGTTTGAAGTATATTTATCTGCACGTTTCAGAATATTAGTAATAGAATATCTTTTAATATTCAATATTTAACTTACACAGTTTTATGTTTCAGCAGTTTCTAACAAGTTTTCTTTAGACAATATCTTTATTGGAGGTTAGATAATTAACTTGGATTTAGCCTTCAAAATTAAAATTGTCACAGTTGTTTCAATTTACTGCATACCTGATAGTGATTTATTTAAATTTTTCAATACTACTATATTCATTTAGGTAGTACTAGTAAAGTACAGTTTCTTTTTTTAGGTTACGTACCAAATTCCCCGGTTCGCGATAATTTGAAATCTTCCAGAGGAGATGAAGTTGTAAGTAATATCTTTCATAAATGAGATCTAGAATTAATATGAGTACACATTGTGTCACAATCTATTCGCTTACTTTTTTTAGATAAAGGTATAATTAATTGTTAAGTAAATCAATGTTACATGAACATTTAACGGGTTAAAATAGTTTACGAGAATTTTTTTTTAAATTGAAAATTAGGATTTTTAACAATCAACCCGAAACAAACCTAATTATTAGCAGACTTAAGCGATGGCTAGCATGCAACTTGGATGCACCAGCATTCCAGAGTTGATGAGCTGATGAGATTTAACAGCTAGTCTATTCGAATAGCAATAACCTATCTGTACCACTGAGCTTTAATTATTGTTGCACTTGTATAGGTATTTAGGCTTGAGCATTTGTCACCTCATAGGTGCATATTGATTCTGCTCGCTTTAATGTTAGCCGCTTAACTAATTCGATGACTCATTTTCCTATGTATCTATATGTACAGTGTAATCCTATTCATTTGCTCTCTCACTTAGTCGCTTGCTCTTACATACTCTCATATCGTTTTGTAATTTTTGTTAGGTGCTATAATAAACATAACCAACGATTCGCATTCGTCTTCTGATTTACACACCGTTATCTAGTAAAGGTTATCGGGAAGAGCAGTATACAAAGTTTAAGAGTATATCGAATACTGACCACCACAGAACTGGTGAGCCCAGCTTTGAATTGTTATGACCCAATGAAAATATTGAGTTAGTAAAAAAAGGATGCAGATCTGTCAAGAGACTAATAAATTGTAGTCCTAAACATCAAAGGGAAAATTTAAATGGCCAATATAAACCAAATCTAAATCACATATTTATTTATATATTTAAACTAACATGTTTTATGTGAAGTTATGCAGAGAAATTCACTAATGAGGATTTACTTAGTTATGTAATAGAAACTATCACCGAGTACGTATTGTGTATATTTTTTCATGAATCTGGTTAATGTTTTTGCTAACACAATCAATTAAAGGAGGTAGATTCACAGAGGTATAACAATCATGTTACTTTTTCTCCTCATGAAACTAGTATAAAATTAAGAAACAGTGAATAAAGTCACAAGATTTTACACGAAGATGCTCACCTATGTAATGCTGTTGTTGAATGAGTTATTTAAAATCTACACATGAAGTTAAGGAATGTTTGATTTAATAGATAGTCAAATACAAATATTTTTACTGTTTTAATAATGAATGTTAGCAGGGCCCCAAAAACATGATTTCCAGTCTAATAAATGAAGCACATTTTGATGTAGTTACGAATATGTTATAACTAAACTATCTGTATTTTAACTTGAAGTCGACAACCAATTTTGTAAATTCACTTAAGTTGAAAATATGAATCACTGGATTCCAGTTCATTGATTCCATGACACAGAGTTCGATCTGAATTCTGAAAATCTTGTATACGAATCTGTGGAAGGTTGTCATAGGTAAGCTGTGATGAGTTTTAAATTGAGATGAAGTGGTCACTCATTTCTTTTTCATTCTCAGCTGCTCCTTATCTGGTGAAAGCTTATGATAGATACTTCATCAAAGAGGAAAGTTTTTGCAGTTAAAGGTAGTCATAGAAAATACCTAGATATATGTTCTATATTGTTTGACGACTATTAATATGTATGACTTATATTTTATAATAATGAGACTAATGATGACAATGAAATTCTAATATACCAGTCAGTGCCTCAGTTGCAATCATTACCCTTCGAACTATATCAGTCACTGTTCTGAATCAAACAAAGCGCAATAAACTATCGAGTTTATTAGCAGCATTCTGGTGAGATTGTAAGTTGCTCGACAGAACTTGATCAACACACAAAATTAGTTTCTACCCAGTGGTCGATCAAAGTTACTTGTAATATTGCATAAGATAATAAACAAGTTGCAATTACAACTGTATTCATAACAATTTTACTGAAGAATTTAGATAATTAGTGCAATTTTATTGTTTTCTATGAATATTCATCTAAAAGGTCAACACTTGAAAATAACATGTTTTTTTTGTGTGATCTCACTAACAAGTTAATAGACAGATATGATCATCATGATTTATTACGTTAGATAAGATTTACCTGTTCATGACGAAATGTAGTTTATTTCTATTAGATTAATAATATGCAAAACATTAAAATGACAAATATTACTAAAACACATCATATTATTAAAATGACCTATTTGAAAATTATTTTCTAAAATTTATACAAATATATCCTTGTTATTATTGAGCTAGTAACACAACTATCTGTTTATTAAAAAAGATAACCTCATTATATAACTACCCATGGATTGATAGACTTCTTGCCGTAAACGATGTTATCGTTTCACTCAGATATAATCATACTGGATTATATCCAACATACAATTTGAACAGTTTGTTTACCTACATTCTAATTTACACTATCTACTAGTGAGTAGTAGTAGTAGTATTTCAACTATCCTTTTGATAATTTAAAAGAACTGTTTGTATAGTCTATTGTTTCATTATATGTGAATTCATTGGTACCTATTGATGAGAAGTTTAAATTTAGAACTTAATGGCTACTCAAAGCTCCTTGAATGTCTGTGATTTTCATAGTTTAAAAAATTTCTTCAAATTTCTTAGATGTATCTAAATATATTGTTTGAGTTTAGGCGAGGTTTTCATGAAGTACGGAAATAGATATCTCTTTTTCTTGCTAGATCTCTGAAGCGATTAATAGGCATGAGTGCAAATTTGAAACTGGAACATTGCTGATCTAACAGGAGCATTAATTCAAAACGAGATTAGAAATCGATAAATGCAGATTTATCGCACATAACAAGTTATTTCCACTTATTTTTATTACGGAGTAATGGTTTTTCTGACCGTTTATTTGATTTACGGCTCGAACAGAAAAATGAAACACTAAACTTAAACCACGATTGATTAAAACAATAGATAGAACGCAAGTATTTATCAGCTCACACTCTGTTGAAGAGATTGTTATAAAAACTACACACAGTTGTTGGTGTTTTTCAATGTTGACAACCTACATATCCTTGTTCATTTTCATCTGATACTTTCGGTAAACGTATCGTGAATATTACGATAGACAGAAAAGAAAACAAGCAAATGAATAATTTATGTTTAAAAAACATTCTGAATGTTAACTTACGATTACGAAGAAATTTTCAGAATACTACATAATGCAGGATGTATTGAAAATGTTTGTTGAAAAAAGACCACGAAGAGAAGGCATAAAAATCCAGAATTAAAAATGCACACTACTTCAAATAAGAGCAAAATATGGGCACTAAATCTAAGTACGACAGCTCACTAATTGTCAAAAAAATTGTAAAGACATTATTATTATTATTAGTTTTTAATTGAATTGATATAACCTCTCGCTGTCAGTAAATAAAATTTTCTAAAAGAATCATATGGTTGGGCATGTGTAATGAATAAAGAAACCATAAAAACAATCGACGTTGCTGTTTATCCAAGGATTTGAACAGTTATAAACGAAGGTTGCAAACCAATAAGTGACTCTTAATCTTTATATATTTTCTCAATAATACGACTAACTAAGCAATAAGGATTAGCTTATTAGTTAGCTCACCTTTCCTGATCATTGCTGCCATCTATGATAAAACTAGGAATATGATGAGATTTTATTTGAAAGAGTTAGTTGACGAAAATATGCTGCTTTGCCGGCAAGACAAGTGTTATGAAAATCTCAATAATAAACCAATGTAAATATCACAGTAATCTAGAATGAACTTCAATGCTAATATAATGAGGGGAAAATTTTATAATAGATGCATTACATCTACAGATTGAACAAAACGAAAAAGAGAAACTCACAAATGACATACAAAAAGAGGACGAACTAATACGTTATATAAGGCAACAACTAGAAAAAGCAAACAAAATAGCTAAAATTGAAGAGAAACACGAGGAGGAAATCCAAGCAGAAAGTCCGTCAGAAGAAACGAAAAAAAAAGTAGAAGAAAAACACATAAGGATAGAGGAACCAGAAAAACTAAAAGAAGAGCAGGAAGAACGAAAAACGATACAGACGAAAGTAAGTCAACTCAAACTAGTAAACTGATATTGATTTTCACTTCAAGTCACTAAATATCACGGTTATTAGTTGGAAAGTTTCCGACAGTCTCTTTTCTCATTTGATAAGTAAACTAAGACAAACCAATGAACGGGTTCAGTTTGAATTGATCAGTTATTTCTTATTTTTGAATGGAACTTCATTTCACAGTCGATTTCACATTAGTATTTGATAGAAATGTATTAAACTTATAGTTTGATTTATTGTTTATCAATAAGTTCACGATTGACAGCCTGATTTGTTACCGACTACTGATGATTGTCTAATTATATTTGTCTGAATAGTCTTCGACACAAGTCAGTGCTAGTTGAGCAAATGTGAAATAATGAAGATGTCAGCTGAGGTCAAAAAATCGTTTCGATCTGACTTGAATGTCAAATATTTTCAGGTGTATTCACTTTACGATTTGCCCCCGAGTGAGGTGAGAACGAAAGGTGTCGTCAATGGATGATTGTTAGACCGCAATTAGTGTCCCGGAAGCGTTGGACGGCCGTTTCGTCCCGCTTTCAGACTCATGCATGATTTCAAGCTAAAACTACAATCTCCACAATACTCTAATGCAAAATGTGTCATCACCAACACAATAGTATCAAACTGGTTTTCAGAAGATACACATGTTCACATGACAGAACATCTATTGTGCAGTAATAATCGATTAGCACATATATATATATATATATATATATATATATATATACGAGTCAACTTTCAAATACTTTATCTCTTCTAACAGAATGACTTAAATTCAACTAAATCCTGTGCACAAGAACTAATGAAATTTTCACACAATAATGAACAAATCGTCTACGTAATTCACTTCTATTTGTGATAATATCAAGACAAATGTTTACATTATTTCGGATGATGTGTAGTAGCGGGATTCGAGACAAATGTTGTCACTCATTGATTATGAAAAGATGGAGAGGGAGAGGGACGTGTGAGATTTCGATTCGGTGTTTTCGCAGTATTTACACATCCGAGTTCCATAGATTTGTCTGAATAATATTCTTGCAAGAATATTTTTGGCAGTTAGCATTTGCAAGCTTTACGCTGATTTACTTACACAAATTTTCGCTGTTCATGCAAACTAATATTTATTATTTATTTCGTTTTGATCAACAAGGATGAAGGTCGTGAAGGTGTTACAGAAGATACGACTAAGTTCGCTAAAACACCAGATCTGAAATCTAGACGACCATCAACTGGAGAAGATCAATTACCAGACGACATTGTACAGATGGGACGGAAACCAGTTGACACTACTATGAAGATGGAAGTGAGTCTATTCATACTAGTCAACCGATGTTGATTTTCACTTCAAGTCACTAAATATCACGGTTATTAGTTGGAAAGTTTCCGACAGTCTCTTTTCTCATTTGATAAGTAAACTAAGACAAACCAATGAACGGGTTCAGTTTGAATTGATCAGTTATTTCTTATTTTTGAATGGAACTTCATTTCACAGTCGATTTCACATTAGTATTTGATAGAAATGTATTAAACTTATAGTTTGATTTATTGTTTATCAATAAGTTCACGATTGACAGCCTGATTTGTTACCGACTACTGATGATTGTCTAATTATATTTGTCTGAATAGTCTTCGACACAAGTCAGTGCTAGTTGAGCAAATGTGAAATAATGAAGATGTCAGCTGAGGTCAAAAAATCGTTTCGATCTGACTTGAATGTCAAATATTTTCAGGTGTATTCACTTTACGATTTGCCCCCGAGTGAGGTGAGAACGAAAGGTGTCGTCAATGGATGATTGTTAGACCGCAATTAGTGTCCCGGAAGCGTTGGACGGCCGTTTCGTCCCGCTTTCAGACTCATGCATGATTTCAAGCTAAAACTACAATCTCCACAATACTCTAATGCAAAATGTGTCATCACCAACACAATAGTATCAAACTGGTTTTCAGAAGATACACATGTTCACATGACAGAACATCTATTGTGCAGTAATAATCGATTAGCACATATATATATATATATATATATATATATATATACGAGTCAACTTTCAAATACTTTATCTCTTCTAACAGAATGACTTAAATTCAACTAAATCCTGTGCACAAGAACTAATGAAATTTTCACACAATAATGAACAAATCGTCTACGTAATTCACTTCTATTTGTGATAATATCAAGACAAATGTTTACATTATTTCGGATGATGTGTAGTAGCGGGATTCGAGACAAATGTTGTCACTCATTGATTATGAAAAGATGGAGAGGGAGAGGGACGTGTGAGATTTCGATTCGGTGTTTTCGCAGTATTTACACATCCGAGTTCCATAGATTTGTCTGAATAATATTCTTGCAAGAATATTTTTGGCAGTTAGCATTTGCAAGCTTTACGCTGATTTACTTACACAAATTTTCGCTGTTCATGCAAACTAATATTTATTATTTATTTCGTTTTGATCAACAAGGATGAAGGTCGTGAAGGTGTTACAGAAGATACGACTAAGTTCGCTAAAACACCAGATCTGAAATCTAGACGACCATCAACTGGAGAAGATCAATTACCAGACGACATTGTACAGATGGGACGGAAACCAGTTGACACTACTATGAAGATGGAAGTGAGTCTATTCATACTAGTCAACCGATGTTGATTTTCACTTCAAGTCACTAAATATCACGGTTATTAGTTGGAAAGTTTCCGACAGTCTCTTTTCTCATTTGATAAGTAAACTAAGACAAACCAATGAACGGGTTCAGTTTGAATTGATCAGTTATTTCTTATTTTTGAATGGAACTTCATTTCACAGTCGATTTCACATTAGTATTTGATAGAAATGTATTAAACTTATAGTTTGATTTATTGTTTATCAATAAGTTCACGATTGACAGCCTGATTTGTTACCGACTACTGATGATTGTCTAATTATATTTGTCTGAATAGTCTTCGACACAAGTCAGTGCTAGTTGAGCAAATGTGAAATAATGAAGATGTCAGCTGAGGTCAAAAAATCGTTTCGATCTGACTTGAATGTCAAATATTTTCAGGTGTATTCACTTTACGATTTGCCCCCGAGTGAGGTGAGAACGAAAGGTGTCGTCAATGGATGATTGTTAGACCGCAATTAGTGTCCCGGAAGCGTTGGACGGCCGTTTCGTCCCGCTTTCAGACTCATGCATGATTTCAAGCTAAAACTACAATCTCCACAATACTCTAATGCAAAATGTGTCATCACCAACACAATAGTATCAAACTGGTTTTCAGAAGATACACATGTTCACATGACAGAACATCTATTGTGCAGTAATAATCGATTAGCACATATATATATATATATATATATATATATATACGAGTCAACTTTCAAATACTTTATCTCTTCTAACAGAATGACTTAAATTCAACTAAATCCTGTGCACAAGAACTAATGAAATTTTCACACAATAATGAACAAATCGTCTACGTAATTCACTTCTATTTGTGATAATATCAAGACAAATGTTTACATTATTTCGGATGATGTGTAGTAGCGGGATTCGAGACAAATGTTGTCACTCATTGATTATGAAAAGATGGAGAGGGAGAGGGACGTGTGAGATTTCGATTCGGTGTTTTCGCAGTATTTACACATCCGAGTTCCATAGATTTGTCTGAATAATATTCTTGCAAGAATATTTTTGGCAGTTAGCATTTGCAAGCTTTACGCTGATTTACTTACACAAATTTTCGCTGTTCATGCAAACTAATATTTATTATTTATTTCGTTTTGATCAACAAGGATGAAGGTCGTGAAGGTGTTACAGAAGATACGACTAAGTTCGCTAAAACACCAGATCTGAAATCTAGACGACCATCAACTGGAGAAGATCAATTACCAGACGACATTGTACAGATGGGACGGAAACCAGTTGACACTACTATGAAGATGGAAGTGAGTCTATTCATACTAGTCAACCGATGTTGATTTTCACTTCAAGTCACTAAATATCACGGTTATTAGTTGGAAAGTTTCCGACAGTCTCTTTTCTCATTTGATAAGTAAACTAAGACAAACCAATGAACGGGTTCAGTTTGAATTGATCAGTTATTTCTTATTTTTGAATGGAACTTCATTTCACAGTCGATTTCACATTAGTATTTGATAGAAATGTATTAAACTTATAGTTTGATTTATTGTTTATCAATAAGTTCACGATTGACAGCCTGATTTGTTACCGACTACTGATGATTGTCTAATTATATTTGTCTGAATAGTCTTCGACACAAGTCAGTGCTAGTTGAGCAAATGTGAAATAATGAAGATGTCAGCTGAGGTCAAAAAATCGTTTCGATCTGACTTGAATGTCAAATATTTTCAGGTGTATTCACTTTACGATTTGCCCCCGAGTGAGGTGAGAACGAAAGGTGTCGTCAATGGATGATTGTTAGACCGCAATTAGTGTCCCGGAAGCGTTGGACGGCCGTTTCGTCCCGCTTTCAGACTCATGCATGATTTCAAGCTAAAACTACAATCTCCACAATACTCTAATGCAAAATGTGTCATCACCAACACAATAGTATCAAACTGGTTTTCAGAAGATACACATGTTCACATGACAGAACATCTATTGTGCAGTAATAATCGATTAGCACATATATATATATATATATATATATATATACGAGTCAACTTTCAAATACTTTATCTCTTCTAACAGAATGACTTAAATTCAACTAAATCCTGTGCACAAGAACTAATGAAATTTTCACACAATAATGAACAAATCGTCTACGTAATTCACTTCTATTTGTGATAATATCAAGACAAATGTTTACATTATTTCGGATGATGTGTAGTAGCGGGATTCGAGACAAATGTTGTCACTCATTGATTATGAAAAGATGGAGAGGGAGAGGGACGTGTGAGATTTCGATTCGGTGTTTTCGCAGTATTTACACATCCGAGTTCCATAGATTTGTCTGAATAATATTCTTGCAAGAATATTTTTGGCAGTTAGCATTTGCAAGCTTTACGCTGATTTACTTACACAAATTTTCGCTGTTCATGCAAACTAATATTTATTATTTATTTCGTTTTGATCAACAAGGATGAAGGTCGTGAAGGTGTTACAGAAGATACGACTAAGTTCGCTAAAACACCAGATCTGAAATCTAGACGACCATCAACTGGAGAAGATCAATTACCAGACGACATTGTACAGATGGGACGGAAACCAGTTGACACTACTATGAAGATGGAAGTGAGTCTATTCATACTAGTCAACCGATGTTGATTTTCACTTCAAGTCACTAAATATCACGGTTATGAGTTGGAAAGTTTCCGACAGTCTCTTTTCTCATTTGATAAGTAAACTAAGACAAACCAATGAACGGGTTCAGTTTGAATTGATCAGTTATTTCTTATTTTTGAATGGAACTTCATTTCACAGTCGATTTCACATTAGTATTTGATAGAAATGTATTAAACTTATAGTTTGATTTATTGTTTATCAATAAGTTCACGATTGACAGCCTGATTTGTTACCGACTACTGATGATTGTCTAATTATATTTGTCTGAATAGTCTTCGACACAAGTCAGTGCTAGTTGAGCAAATGTGAAATAATGAAGATGTCAGCTGAGGTCAAAAAATCGTTTCGATCTGACTTGAATGTCAAATATTTTCAGGTGTATTCACTTTACGATTTGCCCCCGAGTGAGGTGAGAACGAAAGGTGTCGTCAATGGATGATTGTTAGACCGCAATTAGTGTCCCGGAAGCGTTGGACGGCCGTTTCGTCCCGCTTTCAGACTCATGCATGATTTCAAGCTAAAACTACAATCTCCACAATACTCTAATGCAAAATGTGTCATCACCAACACAATAGTATCAAACTGGTTTTCAGAAGATACACATGTTCACATGACAGAACATCTATTGTGCAGTAATAATCGATTAGCACATATATATATATATATATATATATACGAGTCAACTTTCAAATACTTTATCTCTTCTAACAGAATGACTTAAATTCAACTAAATCCTGTGCACAAGAACTAATGAAATTTTCACACAATAATGAACAAATCGTCTACGTAATTCACTTCTATTTGTGATAATATCAAGACAAATGTTTACATTATTTCGGATGATGTGTAGTAGCGGGATTCGAGACAAATGTTGTCACTCATTGATTATGAAAAGATGGAGAGGGAGAGGGACGTGTGAGATTTCGATTCGGTGTTTTCGCAGTATTTACACATCCGAGTTCCATAGATTTGTCTGAATAATATTCTTGCAAGAATATTTTTGGCAGTTAGCATTTGCAAGCTTTACGCTGATTTACTTACACAAATTTTCGCTGTTCATGCAAACTAATATTTATTATTTATTTCGTTTTGATCAACAAGGATGAAGGTCGTGAAGGTGTTACAGAAGATACGACTAAGTTCGCTAAAACACCAGATCTGAAATCTAGACGACCATCAACTGGAGAAGATCAATTACCAGACGACATTGTACAGATGGGACGGAAACCAGTTGACACTACTATGAAGATGGAAGTGAGTCTATTCATACTAGTCAACCGATGTTGATTTTCACTTCAAGTCACTAAATATCACGGTTATTAGTTGGAAAGTTTCCGACAGTCTCTTTTCTCATTTGATAAGCAAACTAAGACAAACCAATGAACGGGTTCAGTTTGAATTGATCAGTTATTTCTTATTTTTGAATGGAACTTCATTTCACAGTCGATTTCACATTAGTATTTGATAGAAATGTATTAAACTTATAGTTTGATTTATTGTTTATCAATAAGTTCACGATTGACAGCCTGATTTGTTACCGACTACTGATGATTGTCTAATTATATTTGTCTGAATAGTCTTCGACACAAGTCAGTGCTAGTTGAGCAAATGTGAAATAATGAAGATGTCAGCTGAGGTCAAAAAATCGTTTCGATCTGACTTGAATGTCAAATATTTTCAGGTGTATTCACTTTACGATTTGCCCCCGAGTGAGGTGAGAACGAAAGGTGTCGTCAATGGATGATTGTTAGACCGCAATTAGTGTCCCGGAAGCGTTGGACGGCCGTTTCGTCCCGCTTTCAGACTCATGCATGATTTCAAGCTAAAACTACAATCTCCACAATACTCTAATGCAAAATGTGTCATCACCAACACAATAGTATCAAACTGGTTTTCAGAAGATACACATGTTCACATGACAGAACATCTATTGTGCAGTAATAATCGATTAGCACATATATATATATATATATATATATATACGAGTCAACTTTCAAATACTTTATCTCTTCTAACAGAATGACTTAAATTCAACTAAATCCTGTGCACAAGAACTAATGAAATTTTCACACAATAATGAACAAATCGTCTACGTAATTCACTTCTATTTGTGATAATATCAAGACAAATGTTTACATTATTTCGGATGATGTGTAGTAGCGGGATTCGAGACAAATGTTGTCACTCATTGATTATGAAAAGATGGAGAGGGAGAGGGACGTGTGAGATTTCGATTCGGTGTTTTCGCAGTATTTACACATCCGAGTTCCATAGATTTGTCTGAATAATATTCTTGCAAGAATATTTTTGGCAGTTAGCATTTGCAAGCTTTACGCTGATTTACTTACACAAATTTTCGCTGTTCATGCAAACTAATATTTATTATTTATTTCGTTTTGATCAACAAGGATGAAGGTCGTGAAGGTGTTACAGAAGATACGACTAAGTTCGCTAAAACACCAGATCTGAAATCTAGACTTATGGCGAACTGTCATTGGAATTCCTTACTTCATGTGGTGTCCGTCAGGGATGTCCACTTTCCCCATTTTTGCTGATTGTTGTCATAGACATGCTGCTAGATGTAACCTTATCCTCGTCTGAATTTTCAAGAGTCGACTCTCTTCCAGGAAAATCGCTTATTGACTTAGAATATGCCGATGGCATAGTTCTATTCGGTGAAGACGCTGACGAAATGGAGAGTCTTCTGAGTGGAGTAGTCGAACGTGTATACCGCCTCACTTATCTGGGTAGTCTCATCAGTGCTGATGTCCCGGTGACTGACGAAATCTCAGCACGGATACAGAAGGCTCGATTGGCTTTTGCTAACTTGCGTCACTTATGGCGCAGGTGAGGTATCCGTTTGCTAACCAAAGATGTCCGTCCTAAGATACAGATGCGAAACATGGTCAGTGAGAGTAGAGAACATTCGTAGATTGTTGGTTCCTGATTAAAGGTGTCTTCGAAGCATTGTTCTTATATCCCGGAACAAACACGAAGACTAATAGGCTTTTCTAAAAAAAACTAGGTAAAGATGGCAAATCAATAGATGAAGCATTAAATGAAGCATCAGCTGAGATTATTGGTACATGTGTTTTGTATGGCTAACCACCGACTGCCTCGTCGTGTTTGTTGGGAGAAAGGTAGGGGCGGTCAAACCAAAACATGGCACAAATCCATGTAAGCACCAACAAGTGGACTGAGTCATGTTGATAGATGTAGGCTACCTGGTTGTGGTCCACGAGACGAAAGGCACCAATGGTTAGACACCTTGAACGACATGGCTCAGAATCGTTTACAATGGTGCAGGTGCATCCTTTCTTTGTGTTCTCTCTAATTCTAACCTTCTGAATTCCTCATAATCCCCATCTTTCTCCTTCTAAATTTATCTCACTGAATTATACTTTTCACATCATATCCCTGCTCCCTAATCTTCTCCATTGCTGCTAATAATTCTATTATCGCTATCACTCTTGGATTTGAAGTGACAGTTACGTCTCTGTGCTGATGTGGTTTGGCAACCTGAACTGATGTACTCATGTACCAAGTTTTGTGTTGTATCTGTCTGTCTATCTCTGATCCAACTTTAAAATACTTACGGTCTTTTGTCATTTCATCTCAGTATTTTCTTTCCTATTTTCTTTTTCTTTTTTACAGAATCGTAAACGATATCGTTCAAGGACTCCCGACACAGTAGCAACTCATAATCGTCATTCTCATCGTTCTCCAACTCCGTCACCATGCAGAAGAAGATGCAGTTGTCAGATTCAGCCTCCAGAATTTCAAAACGAAAATAACAAATTTCTCATGGTTTTGCACAGATGGTGTTTCAGCTTACACCTTTTGTACAGTTTCTAAGTTCCTCTTAATTTTCTGATCTTTTGTTTGTGTGTGTAAGTCCGATGATAATGTAGTAATACCAGTATCCTCCAAACTACATAAATTATAAGTGATTTCACAGTTTCTAAAATTTTATGAAGAAACGAAATCGATCATGTTTAAAAGAATACATTGAAGACTGAAGCATATAAGATGATGATTTGTTTTTTGTAGAATTTATTTTATTTACAACCGTGTGAAAACTGACTGAGATTCCATGGTTTTATGGCTGAAGATAAAACTTTAAATTAACCGTAAATTCTTAATATTACGGATTCACCAAAAAATTCGCTTTGAAAAATCAACCTTCGGAGACATTGTTCAGATATTGTTTTACTAACAATTCATAATGCTAACACATTTTATATGTTCCCGATTCATGTTGATGTGGAACTTCAATAAAACTGATTGAGTGATTCGAAACATGATCACATGAATAAATCTTTAACTGCGATATGTATAGTTTGATCATTTTGATTTGCATGTGTTGACGTGAGAATAGTTGATACTCATGATACAATGTGAAGAAATAAAATGGATATTGAGCATCACGTGAAGCGCAATGCCTTGTTGTATAAATCAATCAAATTTATTGAAATCTCATGTCTTTTGCATTTCACGAATGGTAGATAGTAGAGCTTAGCAACAGTCTTACTGTGAAGTCATATCACAGCAAATATTTCACGATATACCAGAATCAAATTATTCACAACTACTGGACACTCATCTCATAACATTCGGTTGTCTATGAGAAGCCTAATCACAATACAGAATGCACAGTTCTCTACAAACAGGAAACTAATAATTATCACCACATCTCTTTGTCTAAACATCGAATTCCTCAATATGCAACATGATTGAAAAACGCAAAATATGATTACACTAATCATTTATTGAAATTTATCAACATGTTATGCAATGAATAATCGATGAATCTGAATGTAGTTTGAAATGACCGAATGTCATTTTATTTGCATTTGGAAGGACACGAACATCCACATGTACACCCAGAACGTTGACATTGACCAGATGGACAATTGCATCCGCTACCTGATGTACATCCAGAACAGCATTTACAGTTTGCACCACCACAACCTGTAATTTTAATAGGAACAACATATTTCATGTTCAGCATAATTGATGTGCTTGCTTTTAATGATGTATTGTTTATCTCGGATAGAGACTAATGACACACAACAATAGACTTACCAGGCATGACCGATTATTCGCAGTATGACAAGTTAATGAATAATTTGTCCGAAATATCGTTTGCTTATATACATTTGCATTTTCTAAGCTTGTATGTGATGGACACATAGAAAAATGCACCAATAAGAATTGAGATATGTTTCACATTGCATAGTTGATTGGTTGAAATGATGAGAAGTTTGATGCTTAGAAACTGTATGAAAATTCGAGCAGATAGGAGAAACATGGAAGAATTGTTGCATTGTATTTGCTTCGTTTCTCATCATTAGGAAACGGTACTGCTGAGATGTTCAAGTTGAAACTGACATTGTGTGAAAATGAAAGGTATGGGTTGACTGGTTACTGAGTGGTAGAAATTATATTGATATCTGGAATGTAGTGTTGATCAAATTAAACCGATCCACATTTAAACCAATATTGCATCGTCTAGATTGATGACCAGATTGAAACTTTGTTTGTACAACCTGATGAAAAGTTATGAAAAGAGAGCAGAAAATTAGTTTTCAGTTACTGTATAAACAATTTTCCGCTAAACAGCTATTGAGGTCAAAACTCAACACATGACAGAGTTGATTAGCTTATCATTTTGTATACTCAGCACATGATTTATTGAATCAGCCTTCACAAGAGGAATGTATTAGAATAACAACATTAAAACCCTTATCAATCAACCAGTCAGCAGATATGTTGACTGAGTTTGGAGAAACATATATTTATTGGAAAATGCTGCATAACATATGTCTCAGTGTTGGTTAACCACTTCACATATTTCGTAGTTCATGCACGTGCGCACATATTGCGTACTGAATGCTCGCGTTAATTTAGATACGTTTCGGTTTCGATAAACTGAACGTGCACCAGTGACATGATAACAGGACAACTAAGTTTTTCTCTGAGGCACAGCAGTGCTAATGAGAACAAGAAGACATCAGGCAGTATTGACAATCCACAAACAGGACAAAATCGAACGAATCAACCAGCATTCATTTCAAGCACAGTATGTATAATGCACGAAGTGTGTTTGGAATAGACACAAAATAAGGCAATCGAAGAGAAAACCAGCGAATTAAGTTTAAGTTCGTTGCAAGTGTGAAATGTAGAATGAGGGTAATAAGAGTTGATTTAAGCGTGAACGTATGCAATTCAAAATTCCATAATTGAATGACAAAATTGAGACATTCACCGAGTGATTACTGGGAATTCAGCAACCGCATCATATACAATATTCCTTTCACGAAAATAATGTTGTCAACAACAGATCTCTGTTGAAGAACTGTTAGAATTGGGCACGAATCGATGTTTGTATTTTGATTATAATATCAGACTCCACAAAAGTCTGGTGTTAGTATAGACATGGAACGAGAAAATGAGAAAATACTTCTGTGTTGTATAGAGTACGATGTGTTTGAATCAATCATCCAGTATTATCCTTTCGATTCGACGGACTATACAGCTCAAAGCCAATCACTTGATATATATGCAAATCATCGTATAGGAAATTCGATAACTGACAGTATGACACGACTTTCCTCTTACTACAGAAAAAGGATACGCGTTAATAAGCATTCGATTTGTTGTCATCCCTCTCAATTCCGCAGAGCCATTGCAAACATCCATCTCTGCTCCCCGAGCCAAATAATAACATTTCATCGAATTTGTGCAAAATGTGTATCAGCTGATATCATTCGCTCACACTATTGGCTTTCGAATTTTTTTACGATTACTGTGATCACAGTGAGCATTGCAGAAATTGTTCCTTCATTCAGTAATCCATGCGGAAACTATGGAATTCTACTTATTTTATATTTCTTCAATACACTATAGACAGATTTGAGGGAGTGGTGTTTGCATACACTTTTACTCACTCATTTTGAGATTGTGATCATGAAATGGATTGACCAATACTTACCTACGTCAGTTAAAGTTATCCAGTAAGGTAGTTACATCTTTCGTTTATATTCAGTAGGTATTTGTATTGGAAGTGCCAAACTGGAGGTAGGAGAATGTTTACATAAATCCAAATAATCAGTTTGATAAATTCGAGTCTGCCCTCCTTTAGCCTCGAACACAATATTCCAAATCTTGCACTCTATGTTAATTTATAGATTTAAAATTGTATCGTAGATGTATTCAACTTTATGGTTTACATGTTCAAAGATATTTATTTAGTACACTACGAAGATTTTATCAAGAGTTATCGACAAGGAAAGTTAACAATTAAATGATATTCTGATATCTGAATGTATTATCTCAGTAGACTACAACCAGTCATAAGATAATTTAATAGTCAGCTAACAATGGAGGCAAGAGTAAATATATATTAGATATGTTTCAACCGAAATAGCAATGATGATTAAACCATTCGAAAGTAAATTAACGAACTTCTAGTGTCACTAACATTTGCATTTGTGAGTCTACGCAAAATAATGGTCTTCCATACACATGAAAGTAGAAAGAAAGTGTTTTACTAAACTTTATAAATATTTCCCCATTTCCGGAAAGCAGTAGGATGATCCGTATAAGGTTGATGTCTGTGAAGAGTTTCGAATATCATGGAGATCACTGACTGATACAAGCCAGAAAATCATTGAAAAGCTGGAGGCGCTGTATGACTGTTTTGTTCCAGCATGTGACTTCTTGGTAGTGGCATCCGCAACCCTGTCATTGATAGAATGCAATCCATGATCGTCCATCTCATTCGTGTACACCTAACCTCGAGATCACCGAGTGCAAATTAAGTGCTATGTAAATCCGACTTTAATCATTTTGCGATCTTACTCGACTACCTTTCATGGTCTTTGGTGGACAACGATATGGTTGAACTCCTCTACTCACGGCTTCTCACTAAGACTCCGTAAACTTTCTCTAGAATTTAGTCACCAGTGAGCGCATGACAGTTATAAGTGTGTAGTTGTGGAAATTTTAGAGAGATTGGTTTGTGATCACGATAACAAAGTTAAACAACTATCACTTCCCTGTTGCCCGGTTTTGAATGCATGCTTCTGAGGAGTCATATGGTGGGATGAAACAGACATCAAATCCTTCTAAACTTTGAACAGCTGTCCAACATAGAAAGGTCCGTGATTTCAATCAAATTCAACAGTCTCTACAACTACAATGTGATGACGGAAGATCATTCAAGAACATTGAAATCCAACATTGCATCTCGTTGCAGAGAACACTATGATCAAATAGTTATAGTTTTCACTTTGTCCTAATGATGTTCATTCATCAACTTGATTTTGGCTCCAATTTCGATAATGTGTGTCGCAATCTTCCATTATTTGTGTAATTATTATATAACATATCATTCTACTCGTCAGAAATAGTAATCAAAACATCTCTCCACTGAGTCAAATGGTTTGTCTTCTTATTTTTGACATAAGAAACTGTTCAATTTCAACCATGCTCAGTGTCAGATTTTGAATGATCTTCCAATTGTTATTCGGATTGTCATTATTCTTATCAATATTATTAATTTCTATTCCGTTCTGAACATACCATAAGCAAAGTACACCAAATGTTTGCTTCCATTCTTAGTGTTCTTATTTGTACCAACAGAATGTTTGTAGCGGATAACAACTCTTGACTGAGGATATATTCATATTATCCAATAATTTTTAATGTTCCCAAATTGCTCACATTTATCGATAGAACCAACTGCAAGATCATTCTTTTCGCTTTACGGAATATCAGAATCCCTAATACTTTTCAAATATAAAACTATAAATTAGTTGAAAACTAATAGTTACAATGGAAATTCACAATTATGGGATGCAAATTATTTATATGATGTGTTGTTTTGACAAGTTAATTTTGAATTTTTGAAATTAGGTTTCGTTTACATCAAGATCAATATAAATTCTGATCTCTCAGATTCAATGAAAATGTACAATTACATTCATAAGCAATAGTTTTATTAGGTTGATTCACTAGTTCTAGAGAGTTGTCAGTTTCCAATGAAGATTACCAAATAGTTATGCATCAACGAATGCTAAGGTAAAAATGCAGAATACATAAGTGCGGTATGTGATTTACTCTTATTTTTCTTAAGAATTATTCACTGGATAAGAAAATAGTTTTCTCGTAAACAACCACAGTATTCTGAGATTCATACCAACATCTAATCAGTACGACAAAGTTTTCTCATCACTCGACTGCCTAACAAATACCTATCATCTTTATGGATAGATAATCTGAAGACAACTATGTTGTGTTGCAAGATTTAATGTGTTTTGACATAACCATTTGAAAAGTTGTTCTCAATTTCACATTGATGTGAGGATGAAGTTGGTGAGATTACTAGTGGAAGTTGTTGGGAGTGATATTCTAAAATCAATAATTCACTATTTGTTATGTAGGCGATTTACTGACTACATATTTATCATGTATGAGAGACTGTGCGGTAATCAAACTAATCAAAAATAGTCCGAAATGTTACTGATGAGTTACGTAAAAGGGGGGATAGACGAGAACAGCATGTATTCAATTTTGCATGCTTTCAAAGCCAGAACAAGTGGAGAGAATAGGTCGAAAATGACGAAGTATGAAGTTTTGTTGACTTTCATGTGAGATAATCAGGTGGTTTTGTGAATTCTATCTACGGGTTTACGAGTTTTACAAGAACTTAATTTACTTTCACGATAACGAAAATCGATGAATAGTCGTTTACACAGAATATGCAACTCATTGTTTGCAAAAATATTACAAATAAACATAACCACTGACTGTCATGGATTGTAGTGAGAAACAGTTTCGATTATTTCGAATCAACAGAAAATTCTGCAGAAGTATTAAACACACTTCACAATTAGTACTGTACACAGAATGAGTGATTACTAAAATATCAAATGCAACAATAACATCAAAATGTATCCAAATGTACGACTGAATACAAACATGAGCTCAATATAGAGTTGAGTGAGAAATTCGGAAAAACAAAGACGAACGACAATCCAATTGAGACGGAAATGGCAACACAAATCAACAGAGTAAACCAGAATGAATGGCAATGATTGTGCTACGTCAATCTCACAACTCATTAGCACCTCACAGATTCAAGGACTTACGAAGAACTGATCCACAAATCTTAAGTACCAGACACCAAGGAAAAGCATCGTAATATCTAGATTAATTTATTACTATTAGTTTTAACTACACAATAAATTGTTTAGTCTATTGAGAGAAACATTCAAAGTTGTCTTCTGATCAGCAACCTTGCAGACATGTACACCCACACTTGCACTCACCACATTTACAAGGATTCGGTGCACAGTCACAACCTCTGTTCATTTTGCATCCATTGCAACAAGAACAGTTTGGACCATTACAACCTGAAATAAACGGAAATCTTGAATCAGTCATAGACAAGGTGAATAATATCTGGATTATGTGTCAATCAAGTAATCACAATATTTTCATAATAGTCAAAAAGTATACTGGCTATAAGTACACTCACCTGGCATAATTCTATCACTTCACAATAAAATGAATTGTAACCATTAGAGAGTAATCTATTTATATACATGCATGCCTAATATATGGACTATACATAGAAATGTAAACCAATGAGAATCGCTAACTATTTCCCATTGGTCATATTGTGTCATCTGAGTGAAAGTATTTTAAGCTTCAGATAGGGTGAAAACATTTCCCCTCTTTTATAAACTGTGT